TCCTATGCTGTTTAAACCTTACGTGCTGAGATGCTTTCAAGAATCGCAAAGCTCTGAGAAAAACAGGACCTCCTACAGCTGCTAACACTCTGCATCGCATCCCAAATTCCCAAGAACATACCCAACAGTTCTACAGCTCCTGACACACTCCAACAAGATTTCTCAGCATCCCCTTGCCCCAAACCCCAGAGTCTCCAGAGCGACTGCCTTGGCTTTGGGTGCCTCTTTAGCTGCCGCCACCTTTCAAGGGAGCCCGAGACCCCACATGTCAGGAGCTGGCACGTTGAGAGGGAAGCACATGAAGAACCATCGGCTGTCCGCACTGGTCCGAAGAAAGATCCATGCGTAATCACAACGTTACCGAAGGAGAATAGGCTCACCCAGCAAAGAAAATGGAGACGTGCAAGCAACACATGTCCGGAGATCACATTCAGAGGTGTCATTCAAAGGGAGCATGAGTGTATTCAGCGCCCTTTAGCAGACCCTTAACTGCAGCTTTCTGGGTAAGAAAGAAGAAAGCACGCACTTATGAATCCCGAAAGGGGTTTTGGAGGAGTTATTAGAGTATGATATAATGCTAATTATTCGTACTTATTAACCCACGAGTCGATCCGAGCTTCGAAAAGGCCCCCGCGCCTCACACTCCGCACGGGGCGGCGGGGTGAACGCCTGACCGCAGGGCTTGAGCGTTGGAGCACTTTCGGGGTTGAGAAGTTTGTGGGGGTTTTTGTGGGGTTTGAGGTGTTGGGGTTTGAGGTGTTGGGGTTGAGGGGCTTTGCGGTCTTAGGGTCTGGATGCTCAGGATTGTCTTGGGGTTTAGGGCTTTTAGGGTTGGCGGATTGGGGTTTGTCTACCGCCAAAGCGTAGAACGTCGCCCCACCCTGCCTGAACCCCCGAAACCTTGAACCCCTCAAAGTCGAAGGACGCCTGAGCAGCTTGGACGGGTGCCGCGGCCGGCTCGGCATTTCCTGTTCATTGCGAGCCAGGGCTCGAGGGTCTTTGTTTAGGTTTGGGGGGGCATGGGGTCTGAGGCGCTGTGCCTGCATTGCATGCTACCAGCTAAGGGTTTGGGACTCCGGATTTACATGCCGGTGCATAGGCAGAATTGCAAGCACGCGGGGAAGGAGTCGACATGCATGCTCCCGAACACGCCGACATTCAATCATGAGAACAAGGACGAATATAGGTAAGGTCACTTCCTGGACGAAAGATAACAACGGACAGGGAATGTTATGTGGCAGTCCCGGCTTCTCAAGCTCCTTCTCAACCCGAAGCGCTAAACCCTGAGCTGCAAAACATCCCTCCTCAAACCCAGATGCGCCTTTCACTCCGACCACTTTGCAGCCCACGAGTTCGGCGGCGACCTCCGCCTCGGCTTCGCGGCTTTTTGGGGAACCCTGAACCCTGACCAAGTTTAGGGCTGAGGGTTTAGGGCTCGGTCGTCCTAAACTTCTTGAGGGGGGCTTAGGGGGTTTAGGGGTCTCTTGCACTTCTAGGGTTCAGGGCTGAAAGGGCTTCGGGTTGCAGGGCGGCGTTGTGAAGACTTCAAGCTCGGGATTTTTGCTTGGTCCAAAATGGGTCAAGTGGCTGTCCAGCATAAACCCTTAAACCATAAACCCTAAAATCTCAAAATCGCAGGCCTGACTTCTACACGCCCTCGGGCCCAGGCGAGCGACAGGATCCTGGGCAGCTTGGGCTTAAGGACCTATAGCCTTTTGTTGCAGGCCCGGCGCAAAATCGAAGTCACGAAATCACTGGAAGAACAGCCCGAAACGCTGAACAAAAGAGTCTAAATTCTGAAGCTCTAACCCTGCATCCTAAGCCCAAGTATGTTGACAGCCTCCGTTTCTGGAATCCAATTCCACCAGGGGCCCCGACGTGTCTTTGTCCTCCTCCGAGAGATCCCGCGGCTTCATCTAAGAGAGCTTTGGCTTTGGGGTTTTGCTAAGGCTCGTCTCATGTTGAGGTCAGCAGGGCTTCAAGGCATTTTGAAACCCGAAGGCTCTGGCCTCAAGCTCTGGCCTTAAGCCTGTGTAAGGTTGAGGGTTGAAGGGTTTAAGGGTCTCAGATTTAAGGGTTTAAGGGTTTAAGGGCTTAAGGGTTGAGAGTTGAAGGGTTTAGGGGAAGGTTTGGGTTTAGGGCTCAGGGCTGGAAATCCGAAATCCCCCCACAAAACATGCTCCCCGGCGCCCGGCCTGGTGGAGGCGCAGGGACGCTAAGGCGGAAGCAAGACCTCCAACGTCCCAAAAGCACGTGAATGGCTCTGTCTGTGTGTGGTGGCCTGTCAAGGTAGGCCTGCGTGGAAGACAGCTCTCCCAGAACACACAAAGCTTGCAGACACCTGTTTCCGCAGCCAGAACACACCAAACACGGGGGAGACTTCCGGAGGACAGCTCAACCCTCCAAAAATCCCCCGGCCATCCGGCTGAAGCCCTGAGCTCTTCCTAAACCGCAAACACTAGACCACCCTCAACCCTGAGCTCAAAAAACACAACTCAAGGCCACGGCAGCTGGTGTCTATGGCCGGCAACTCCTGTCGGAGCTATCTTCGTGATGTGCGGGTGGGCACGGTGTTTCGGGCTTGTGGAGTACCAAGGCTTCGGCCTTAAGGAGTTGTAGGCTTGAGGCTGGGACGTGACCCCCAAACCCGGTTTCGGAAAGCTCTGGTTTGTTCACCGGTGCGTGTCGCTGTCCCTCTCGGGGATGCTTCTCCCAGCAGGGGCTTACTTGACAGAAACCTCCCTGGGTTTGAGACTCGGTTTTGAGGGGGCAGAGGCTTCAACCTGGGATTCAACCTTGACTTCCAGGTCTGGATCCTCCTCATCGACGGCAGAGGAGGGGTCCCACCTTGGGCAGCTCTCTCAAGGATTTGGCTAAGCTTGTGAAAATCAAACGGTTCTTGAGCTGCCGACATGAACGGAAGCAGGCATTTCCTCTGCCATGGTCGATCAAGGTGTTGGGCCCTGGACCCCCAACCTTTAAGCTTCGAGGCACTCCTTCTGCTTGGCCCATTCACACCCTAAAGGCCGACATTCAAGCTCCGCATCATGCACCATCCCGGGTTCAAGCTCCGCATAACGCCACCATCCCGGGTGCCGTGCTCTTCGCTCCCATCGCTGTCGTCATCGGCACCTCCAGGGTTTTGTGCCGAAGCCCTATCCTCCAAGAGAGCCTTGGATACTTACCCATGACGGCCTGCGGCAGGCGCCTTCCTTGGCAGCCTCGTGGAAAGGGTTCTGCGATTTAGGGGACCAGCAATTCTAGCGCAGTGGGTGGTTGAGCTTCAGGTTCAGGGACAAGGGACTTTGGGGGGCTGCGAATCAGCATGCTCTGGTGACTGGGGCAACTGCGGCCTCGATTACAAACGCTTCAGGGCTTGACACGTCAAAGTTATCCCTCAAAGCCATGTCCCTGCAACCCTGTGGCCGTACATCCCTGGATCCCGCTAACCCAACCTAAAACAAGCAGCTAGTAACTAGTCCTGATCAATCATAGCTCATCGACATGAGTGGTAACGAATATTCCCGGACAACCTAGCAACTGTCATAAATTCACTAGCTCCCCACCAGAGCAACCCACACCTCAACACCCTAAACTCCCTTGCCTGGGCTGTGCCGGCGCGGCCAGACTAGGCGCAGCCAGACTAGGGACCTCAGTACCGCGTTTGGCGAGACGAATGCGAACGGAGCAGCTTAGGTGTCAAAAGAGGCATTGTTGAGGCCCTGGAGCTTCGGCTAGGAGAGTGGGCTTAGGGTTTAGGGCTCAAGGTTTGCAAGCTCGTTTGGGTAGTTGAGGTTTTGCCGATTGCACAACACTAGAGCCTCCTGAACCCTCAACCCCAAACCATGAACTCTCATCCACAGCCTCTTGACATTATGCCAGGGCCTGACCTCGAAGTAGCTTGGGAGTCTGGGCCTTAGGGTTTGGGGTTAGGGTTTTAGGGTTCAGGGTTCAGGGTTGATGGTCTCGGGTTTTAGCGCCTACTGTGTGGCTGGTGAATGTACTGGTGTGGGGCCCGCCAAGACCCTGAACCCCCCAACAGGTCCAAGAAAAATCAAGACAGTGCGGCTTAAAGCTCTTGCGAATCCGCCGAGGCCTCGGGCCGGAGGTGTATAGGTTGTCAGAACAGGCACCCCCCTCCAAATCCTCCCCCCACACCCAAAGCCCTTTTTCGGACCCCTTTTTTTTGGCCTCAAATGGGTACCCCCCCTGGGAAACCGGGGTCCGCAAGCGGACGGTTCGCCAGGACCAGAGGCAGTCGAAGCCCCTCCCAGCAGGGCCCCCCGCCCGTCCCCCCCCCCTACCCCGCCCCCCCCCCTACCCCGCCCCCTTCCCCCCCTACCCCCCCCCACCCCCCCCCCCCCCCCCCTCCCCCCACCCCTACGATCACTCCAAGCCGAACCCTAAACCCAAAAAAACCCTCAACCCCAAAGCGTGAACCTTGAGCCCTAAACTAACCCTCAACCCCAAACCCCAAACCATAAACCATAAACCCGGAACCCTCAACCCTCAACCCTCAACCCAACCCTTATTGCTTGGGGTCCAGCGACTTGGGCGCTGCGGAATCACCATGCTCACGCGGATGCGCTGGGCCGGGCCGAGGCGGGTCGCGTAGCGTTAAAATTACTACTTTTGCAGGAAAAGTGGGAAAATCTGTGAGACACGCAGCCCATTTGGGCATCAATGAATTCGAGGGGGCCCAATTTTTGGTGATTGAAGAAGTCGTTGCTTTCTTCGTGCACACCGGCTACATGGACTTGCTTACGGGAGAGCGAGGAGGGAAACACCAAAAAAAAACCTCCTGTGCAGTACCTGCATTCACTCCCCCACTCCCCCTGAAGCACCGGAAGCATCCGGCCACCGCAGCATCAGCTGCACCACCCAGCTCGCTGGCTGAGAAAAAGGCCCCGAAAATACACGAAAAACCAAACCCTAAACCCAAATTCTTGCCTTGCTGAACGTTGAACCCGGAAGAGCTCACTGCTGCACCGCAAACAGGCTTAGCTGCCCTGGTCCTTCGCAGCCTGCGCCAGAATGTATGTGTGGGGCTCGTGTGGCCATCATAGGGTCCTATTTAGGGGCTTGCGAGGCCGGAACCCGAAAAAGCCCCTGCGCCTTGAGGGTGCTGCAGATCGACGCGAGCTTGGCGCAGTCCAAGCCCGCACGCCCCACGACAAAGCCGTCGACGTCCGGAAGCGAAGCGTAGTCCTTTCTGGCAAGCCCCTCAGCCCCTCAGCCCTGCAGAGGCGGGCCAAGGGATTCGGGGTTTGAGGTTTGGGGGTTTCGGGCGTCGGGCGGTTTTCGGATCGAGGGCTTAGTTGAGAGGCGACACTCGTTAAACGATTCGACCACAGTGAACTTCTGATCGGATCCCATCAGGGACTGGCACTACAGTGAACAACGGGGCACAAAAACGCGAGCTGCTGGCTTCTTACAAGCCCCCCCTTAAAAAGCTCGCAAGCCGCGGAGAACGCGCATCTCAGACTCCCCTGAAACCCTGAACACAACGTGGGAAGTCTTGAACCGTCACCGGGCGCGGTGTCCTGGGCGTTCTTCTCGTTCACCGAACCTCGAGCTGCTGGGCTCCGGGCGTCCCGTCTGTAGGGCTCGAGGGCTTGGGCTGTTTCGTGAAGCTGTTGGAGGTTTTTTCGGGGGCTCTGTGGGCTTTGGATTTGTTGTCGAGGGTTTTTGGGATCCAGGAGGTCATCTTCGGGTTTCGCGTCTTGGGCTGCTTGTGAAGGACTAAGGCGTTCAGCATGCGAGCTTCCCATCCTGAAGAGCCCGGTCAAACCATGAAGGGGGTTGCTCTAAACTAGAGCTGAGTATCTTCTCGTCTCTTTAATGGGATTCTGAAATTAACACCACTGAAGGTCAGGCGGCCGGTGTAAAGGAACCGACATTCCTTGGCCGCCTCAGGGCCCACCTGCACCCAGGAGCGTTGAAGGGTTTAGGGCCCAGGGGTTTGGGGTTTAGGGTTATAGGGGGCTTCAAAAATGTGAGGGTGGAGGGTTGAAGGTTTATGTTTTGAGGGTCATAGGGTCCGTGCAGCTGTAAGCCCTACAGACGAGGGTATAAACTAAAAGGCTTTGAAAACACCCCAAACACCCCAAAGCCTTAACCCGAAATCCTGAGGCCCTAAAGCCTTGGGCCCTGAACCCACATCCCCCAAAGCCTAAACCCCTAAGGCCCCCTCCACCCTGTGGACCTCTACACCCTAAACCAAACCCGCAGCGGTGCCTGGGACTCCAGGAATGCCCGTAGGGCCGCATGCACTCGCTGGGCCTGAGAACGGTTTAAGATGCCGGTTCAGGGCTCAAGGCTTCGGATTTCGTAGGGTTTGTAGGCTTGAAACTCGAGGACTAGACTAGAGGCCCAGAGAATCGCTCCCCCTTCAGATACACTTCTGGGCGTCCCATTCCCAACCCTAACACCTTAACCCGAAACCTCACCAGCCCTAACCCTCGCCAGCCAGCCTCAACCTCGGAACCCTAAACTTGGAGGGTTCGGACCCTGGGTGCCTCCTCCGGCTGGCATGGGGTCGCGCCCTCGCCCACGGCCCACACGGGCTCATAAGCGACAGCGACCCTCGCAGAGAATTGAGGCTTAGCACTTCGGGTTCAGGGTCGAGGGTTCAGGCTTCAGACCCGGGAGCTGTTCCACGTTAGTTGTTCTTTTCTTTGGGGTCTCCTGTTTGGAAGGGAGTCGGGCCATGAAGGCTCTACAAAGAAGCCCTTTATGATCGTTGCTACCAGTGCCGAAATGCACCCCGAGGACCCAGAAAGGGATTCGGAAAGTGAGTTCAAGAATTCATCAAATGCTGACACCTTCGCACGTTGGGCGTGATCTGGGAATTTGCAGAGAATTAGGGGTTCCCGTGCATTTGTAAAGTGACGACACTCTTGCAAGGACCCCTAGAAAGGCAGCCCTACATAGGGTTTAGGATTTAGGGATGCTTTGTTCCACCATCATTGTTTTGTCTTTTCTGTTTTTTTGGTTGGGGGGGGTGGGGGGTAGGGGTTGGAGATCGATGAGGCGATCCATGATTGGCTCCCAAGCAAGCAACGGCGCGTGCGCGAATGCCTCCCGCAAGTACAAGTAGTAAACCCCCACCGAACAACGGACCAAGAGGGCATTTTTGGGGGGAGGTTTTCACATCGGAGGGTGTTGAAGCCGCCTTCCCCAGGCATCTGCCGGAACACCTTTCGCCGCTTCGCCCAGCTGCGCCTGAGGCACCTAAACCTTCAAAGCTTTGAGGGCTTAGATTTATCTTGTTATTCCCAGACATTCAACCAAAGGATATGAATTGGATAGCATGTGAGGTTCTCCATCTGGCTTAAGGGACTTTCAACATGTTGTGGGTTTGGGGTTGTTAGGGTTGGGATGGATCTCGGAAGGAGCAATCCAAGGCAGGCCTTCAGGCTTTCTGCTTGGGTTCAGGGAACTACCCGCATGTTGGCACCCTTGAACGCCGTTTCGGGCCTGAGTCCTTCGGACAAGAACCCCCAAGAAGCTCAATTTAAAGCACTTGAGGGCCCCAACCATCTTAAACCGGACACCCGCCAACATCCCCCCCCCCCCCAACAACCACAACAAAACAAAAAAGTATACACATACATACACACATACATACACACACACACCCACGTACGTACGTACGTACATACATACATACCTACATACCTACATAGCTACATACCTACATACCTACGTACCTACATACCTACATACCTAAATACATACATACATATATACATATTCTTTCCATATACGTGCATATATTCTCAACATAAAACGAACTTCAAGACCCAACCCCTGAACCTTTTTTACTCCCTGACAGCCCCTCCAAGCCTCCAGCACCTTCAGCTCCTGCCAAGCACAGGGGGTGAGGGGGGAGCCGGTTTAAGGTTCCGGTTGGGGTTTGGGGTTTAGGGTTTAGGCGGCTTCCAGACTTCCAGGTGCAGCAAGGCCGGACACAAGGCTTCCTGATGGAGTATCTTTCGGGCTTTCCTTTTTTTGGGGGGCGAATAGGCGGGCAGTCGCAAACCCTGAGCCCTAAGCCCTACATCCAAAAACCCCTAAGCCCCAAACCCTAAACCCCAAGCCCCAAAACAAGCCCACATAAGCTCCTCGCCGGCACTCCGCGCCTCGGCTTTCTCGCCAATCCTCGGGCGCAGGGCGTCGCACACGCAGCCAGGAGCTTCACTTGGTATGTTCCCCCTTTTGGGGGTTTGGGTGAGCCGAACAACTGTCAGAGATACGGAGACTTTTCGGGGGTGGAGGGTTTCAGGTGTTTGGGGCGTTTAGGGCTTTGGAATTTTCGGGCATGTAGGACCTCTGTTGAAACTCTACTTGCAACTAATAAAACGAATCACACACACCACACAAAAACATGTTAACAATAACAATAACAAAACACGCCAAAATGCCCACGACTGTAGCAGCCAAAGCTCGTGATGTTCACACTGAGGCCGCTTTCCAGGCACTGCCTCCCGATTCATCAGCACCATGAGACCTTTTAAACTAAACCCCTAAGCCCTACACATCAAGCCGCTCTGCAGCCCCCCAAACTCTTCCCGATATACCATATTACGGAGTCGTTGCTGGGCTCGGGCTTTCAGCTCGCTTCACCTCCCCTAGAGGCTACCACAAGCTCCTGGAGCGGTAAGGCTTTAGGGTCTCAAAAGGGGTGTGCGGTTTCAGGGCTCCTACTTCCAGTAGCAGGGCCTCTTACAATGTATTCGGTTGCAGAACTGCAAGGGTGAAAAGACAGTTCACCGGCCCGGCCTGACCTTTGTGCTTATGAGCCCATCAGTTTCGCCCAGGACGTTGCCTCAGCAAGGAAAGGCCCTAAATGACTGAACTCCTGAACCACTGAAGCCCAAGACCTGTACCTGGCCCAAAAGGGAGGGGGGGGAGTAGAGTCTCTTTAGGGGTCCCGCCTGGTACCCTTCAGTTCAGGAGTGTTTACGTCGGCTGCTTGGTGATTAGGATTTTCACGCGAGCCTCACGGTCCGTGAAACCCAAGCCTTGAGGCCAAGAAGCGCCGGTCAGAGTGCCCAAGCAGGACCCACTCGCAGCCAATTCCTGGGGGGGGCAACTGTTCTCTTCCAGAAGCATTCTTGAGTGGGGCTTGGGGTTTAAGATGTTTGGGGCCTTTGCCCGGTAGCGCACAAAGCTCTTGTCTAAATGCTTGGAAAACCAACCCTTCGCCCCGGCCTTTGAGCATCTTCGCCGTCACGACGCCCGTGCACGCGAAGCCCTCGCCCGCATCCCAAGCATTTTGGCTGCCGACGCGCATGCCTTTCCTCACGCACAGTCGTCATGCTGACAGTAACCCTTGAAACCCTGCTTGCATGACAGACCTGCTTAAAGCCCTAAGCCACAAAACTGGAGGTTCCAAACTTAGCCCAACTATTTCCACGAGCCGAGCATCGAACCACACGTTGCTCGCATGAAATTTAAGCAGCTAAGCTCCAAACCCTGAACTTGACCCTGACACGTGCATCAACCCCCAGAACCCCAACATCCCCCCAATCCCCGAAACCCTATAAGGTCCCTCAAACCCCTCAAGCACCTAACGCACCCAACAAAAAAGGCACCCCTGCAGCCCTCACGTGCCCAATCCCAAACCCCCAAAACTTTCCTAAACCCAAAAGCCAACAGAGCTGCGTCTCCCCAAGCTAGCCCTCGCCCGCTCGAGGAAGATGTAGGGAGCAAAGACGCAGAGTTCCACGCCTGCAGGAGGGAGTTTGGGGTAACGGTTTAAGGCTTAGGGTTTTGGGTTTTGGGTCTTGGGTCTAGAGGTTTAGGGTGAAAAGCCTGGGGCTTCGGGTTGAGGGCTTCAGGGTTTAGGGCTTGGCGGCTGCTGGGTAGTACAGCTTAGGGGCTTATAGGGGTTTTCGGGCTTAAGGGTTGAGAGTTCACGGATACTTCTTCCCACTCCTGCAGGACCCCCGGCGCCAAAGGAGGCGGCCATCCCGGCGAGAAGCTTGTCCACCTGCCGTATTCTTTCGGGTGTCTAGGGCTTAGAAGCTCGGCCCTCGCATGTCCTCAGATAAGAATTCAAAACACACAAACAAACAGAATGCTGTGCCTGTAACCCCGAAGTTTCAATTGAAGCCTATGGGGAGTTCAGGGAGTAGCAGGGTGAACTAGCCAAGCTTCAACCCCTTTCTAACCCCAACTCCCGAACCCGTCCCCCTTCCTTAGAATCCTTAATGCCCCAAACCCTACACCCTAAAACCAAAACCCTCAACCCTAAGCCCCTAATTCCCGAAGCCCTGAGCCACCAGCCTCCTCGGCAGACTCCTGGGATGGCTTGGGGTTCAGCGCAGGGGCTCAAGGGTTTAGGGCTTCAGGGTTTTAGGGATTTCGGGTTTAGGGTTTAGGGTTTGGGGTTTAGGGCTTGAGGGTTTAGGAGGTTGGATGCAGGGTTTAGGGGTTTAGGGTTCAGGGGGTTTGAGGGTTTACTGTAGGGTTTCAGGGTTGAGGGTCTTCGGCTTGGGTTTTAGGGCTTCCGGGGGGGGTTTAGGGTTGAGGGCTTGGGATCTCGAGATTCGGGAAAATTGAATTGCACAGGCATCTTAGGGGTGCAGCTTCATACATAAGCTCCATGGCTTGGGGTCTAGATCTTCTTGGATCGAGACTTTGGAATTATAATCTTTCGGGCTTAGAGTTTAGGATCGAGGGCTCAGTGCTTCAATCTTGAGAGTTTAGGGTTCTTCGTTTACGTGCCTTCATTTCTTAACCTTGACGGTCTCGAGTTTAGGCTTCAGGGTGTCAGTTTGAGGAGCTTTGGGCTTTCGGAACTTGCAGTTGGGCTTTGTGAAGGTTTAGGGTTCAGGGCGTTTAGGGGTTACAGCTGTGGGTTTGGACGGCTTTGGTGCAATGTGTTGGCCTGAGGGCATGTGGGTTTGAGAGGGGCCGCGGAGTTTGGGGGTTTTAGTTGTTCTTGGGCGGGGCTTTCACTTCGAGGTTTCGAAACTCAATTTAAGGCTCCGGATTCGGAGCTTCAGGTTTAGATTGTTTGGAGGTTGCGGTGAGAGGGGTTGGGGGTTTAGGGCTTCTGGGCTTCGGCTAGCTTAGTTTTCAAGGTTTTGCGTCTAAAGCCCCTTAAACAACCGTCTTGGCGAGCGTCTAAGCTGCATTTCCAGTTGGCGCCGACAAAGAGCCTGTGAACGTGCCACCACGACCCACACCCGAAGAATTCTGAGGAGAGTCACTAAGCCGTAGCAGCCCCAATCATTCCCTGAATCCTAAACGATGAACAAAGCACTCCAAAACCCCGTTGTCCAGTGGGGGCTCTTGGGGCTGCGAAGTCCGCGGCCTACCAAAGACTAGATACGGGCTTCCTTGGAACTCAGGGGTAGGGCTTAGGGTTTCAAAGACACCTGAACCAACCCTAAACCCGAGAACCCGCTCACTCAAACAATCTTTGCTGTTCGCACTGTTGGTAGGGGGTAAAGAAGTAGCGATAACAGACAAATAAACCATTTCCATCCCCATATGACTACATAGTTTGAAGACCAACCACCCAAAAACTGTTCTAACCGTAGCCCTGAACATTCCTTTCGCTCATTTGTGCCTCACCACCTTCTACCCGCTGAGACAACGTGCCATCAAAATAGCTACTCTTATGGTCGTTCCTTCATCCACCAGTGGGCAAGAAGAACGTGCCCCCCTCCAAAGTGCCGCACCTTGTGCTCGGCAACGTGACCTTCGCCTCCGTGGAGGTTGTGCTCGGCACCGGCTTCGCCTCCGAAGCCGAGGCCGAACCACCAGCGCCCATGGCTCCAACG